GGGGGCTCGTGGCACCGCAGAACACTTTTCTGGAGAACATCGTGCGGAGATCAAGTGGTGAGTCGGAGCGAGGCTTTGTTTTGGGGGGGTCACATGTTCCCCAGTGTCTTATCATAACAATCCCGAGGAATCCTGCTGATGTTTAGTGATGGAGTTTCTGGCGGAAAGGAATGTTTCCACTGAGAGAAGCGAGTTTCCAACATTGTTCCAGAGGAAAATCCTTTTGTTTGTTTAATGCTCCAACTCCAAAAGAAGAACGTGTCCTCAAATCTTCAAAGACTAAAACAGCTTTACTGAATGTTTGAAATGAAACCCCGTAAGCTGCATTGTTGTTAACAGCCGATGTGCTCCGTCACGCTGCTGCCGGCGGGGATCTGCACCTGCTCCGGTCTTCATCATCTCAATGTGCTTTATCACGGTTCTGTCTCTTCTGCGTCGTAAAGCGCGCTGGATTTGGCACAGACGCGCGTTCCCTGATTGGATTGATTCCTTTACTGCACAGGAAACTCAGCGGAGCATCGGAGGAGGAGGAGGAGGTGGAGGAAGAGGAGGTGGTGGTGTTTCTGTTTGTGGACAGGAGAGGCTGATCTCTCGGGCGCTAATTGAAGAGCTATTGGCCATATTTGTCTTGTTATTACTTGATAAGTGACGTGAGGAGCCTGTCAGGTGGTTTCACATGAGAACAGAAGCCTTTCCATTTGGAGAATAGTAGAAGTCATGTGACCGTGGTGGAGATCCTCTATAGTCTAACATGAAGTCATGTGACCGTGGTGGAGATCCTTTATAGTCTAACATGAAGTCATGTGACCGTGGTGGAGATCCTTTATAGTCTAACGTGAAGTCATGTGACCGTGGTGGAGATCCTTTATAGTCTAACTTGAAGTCATGTGACCGTGGTGGAGATCCTTTATAGTCTAACTTGAAGTCATGTGACCGTGATGGAGATCCTCTATAGTCTAACATGAAGTCATGTGACCGTGGTGGAGATCCTTTATAGTCTAACATGAAGTCATGTGACCGTGGTGGAGATCCTTTATAGTCTAACATGAAGTCATGTGACCGTGGTGGAGATCCTCTATAGTCTAACTTGAAGTCATGTGACCGTGGTGGAGATCCTCTATAGTCTAACGTGAAGTCATGTGACCGTGATGGAGATCCTTTATGGTCTAACATGAAGTCATGTTGGATGTAGCAGTACTGCTCAGGAGTAGCACAGCGATGTAATACTTCTAATAGTACCTCAGGCTCCTAAAAGCACCAATATCAGTTCAGGCTCCATTTGGAATATAGAGATCGATTTATCTGATCTCAGATCTGCTGGTATCTCTTTGAACCCACCAGACTCCATCGACAAAACCGTCGTTCTCCAGTCAGAGAACTACTTCAAAAGTATTCTAAATATAGGAAACACTTAAACCGGTATTGATTATGTCTCCACGGGAGGTGTCTCCGTTTATCTGCCATCAATACTTTTCTGATTTTCCGGCAGTCTAAAAATGCGCTTTTGTTTTCAGTGCATCAACTGGTCGCATGCAGTATTCACAGCGTGTCGAAACATCATCTGCATGAGCAAAAGGTTTATTCTCCACTATGAAGATGCATCAGGAGAGTTTAGAGGAATGAAGACTTCGCTCGGTGTGAGCAAAGTGATCCTGCGGCACAGAAGACTCTAAAAATAAATCCATACAGTCGTCAGGTGAAAATGAGAAAATCTTCCTCTTAGAATAAACTTGTTCTGAAATACGGTCAAACTTCCTTCTTGTGTGTTCTTCATGTGGTGAGTTTGACTCCCACAGAACCATGTATTGTTTTATTGACTCGAATTGGAAGCTGCAGAGAGACGTGGTGTGATTCATGCGCCCGCGTTGTCTCCCCCCGACGCTGTTTCTCGGTAAACGCGCTCCGTCCTTCGGGGGAAACGCTGTGACGGTTCCTTTGGGCCTCTGAGCAGCTGATGCGTTCCATCTTCTCATCGCCGACCAACTGCGCTGTTGGAAAAGAGGAGTTGAGGTTGAATGGTGAGCTGCCCGCTGCTGACAGGCGTTTCCCGCAGGTCTTATTAATCACACTCTGCGTTTACCTCCTTCGTATCGTGCATCGTCTTCCTCTAAAGCAGCCAATCGTTCTCTGACCTTTCAAACAAGCCGCCGGCTTTACTTCAAGAAACAGACATGAACTTTAATGAAAAGGAAGCAGCTCTCAAACCGCTCCCGCCTGTTTCCAGGTTTTCACATCTTTTTTTTTTTCTGGAGATTTTGTTGGTGATTTGAAGGACGACAACTAAGACTTCAGTCGCTGGAACAACGTGTGGACGTTTGAGGAGCTTTCAAACGCGCAGGAGAGTTAAAGCGCTTAGAATGGTAGAATGACTAGAACAAGTAGCGTCCTTTGTGCTGTCAAATGTTTTACTCCACATCGTTATAAACATCTCCCAGAAAGATGAGTTCAAATTCAGATATCATGTTAATTAAGATCAAGACTTGGATTATTTACATGAAATCACACTTTCTTGCTCTTCTGTGTCTGTATTCTTATGGCTGGATGCACTTATTGTAAGTCGCTTTGACAAAAGCGTCAGCTAAATGACACGTGATGTAATTAAGAGGGGGCGGGGCTTCATGTATAAGAAGGCGGGGCTTGTAGCAGGTCGTGACGGACGCGGCTGACACTCTGCAGGTAGAGATTTTCTTTAATAAGTCAGTAATATTGATGAATTATTGCACAGGTGTCATCGTCGTGTTCACATAAACCCACTTTTACCTCAGGAGGCGTTTTATCCGCCTCGGCGGGACCTCCTCCTCCTCCTTCCTGCAGCCGCTCGCCGCTGAAGACGCTCGCTCTCTGTCCCTCAGAAACCAGCTTCCTCCTGGGGAACGCGCAGATCGTGGAGTGGCCTGTAGTCTACAGCAATGACGGCTTCTGCAAGCTGTCTGGCTTCCACCGGGCCGAGGTCATGCAGAAGAGCAGCACGTGCAGGTGAGACGGGCTCAGGTGAGCGCTGCGTTGGTGACTCGCCCGGCTCATGTGACCCTTTGCTTCATGCTCTTTCCTTAACGGTTTAAATGTTGCTCAGGTAATAACGAACGAACCCCCCAGAGCAGCCGGGTCACTTCCTGCAGAAACCCCCCCAACACGGACTCACTTCCGTCTATTATTTTACTTTAAAGTGAGGCTCTTTTGTGCGTCGCTGCCTCCGTCCTCTCTGATAAAAAGCAGAGAGCGCTAACGGCGCCGACCGCCTGACGTCCACGCGTGGCAGCCAAACTGCACCAGAAGAAACTAAAGCAGGGG